CACCAGATGGAAAACTCTACAGACTGTCGGTTCACACCCCATCACAAGCCAGCAAAACACCCACGAAACAAAGAAAGGTCTGTCACAGCCAAAAAAAAAAAAAATATATATATATATATATATTGTCACATAACTATGAACTAAATATATCGTCAAATAGAAATATATATATGTATAAATATATATATATATATCGTCACAAATACATCGTCAAACAGAACTGCCCGGTTGTTACGGACCCACCAGGACTCGATCCCTAGTCTGTGGGACTCAGCCCGCCTGTTTTCTTCTTCCTTTCGTTCTTCTCTTTTTTTTTTACCGTTTTCTTTTGTTTTTCGGCATATTGCCCTTCCTCCAAAACCTTCTTCTGGCACCGTCGGATTTCGGACATCTGGCGCCATCACGCATTCTGGCGCCACTTTCAAATTCCCCATTTTTCAGTTTCGCCCCTTGGGCTTTTGCAGATTTGCCCCCGGTACCTTACGAGGAACCGATACTTATATCGGTCCCCCGTACAGTACGGGCAACCAGGTTTTCAGCCTCAGTGCTTGTGTTCAGTGTGAATTTGCTTCGACATTGTGTTCGGGAATTCAAAACTGCGACTTTGCGACTTCCACTTTGTGTCTGCATTCGTCGAGTCATGTCGAGTCTGCATCGAGTTCAGTGAGCGTGTGTGTGTGCTCTCTCTCCCAGCCTCGCTGCACTGCCTCTTCCCCGTCACACCGGTAAACCATCGGCAGAGATTGAGAACAGGACAGTAAACATATATATTGTCACATAACTATGAACTAAAAGAGCGCACTTTGTGAAACAAACGGAAGAAACAAAAAAATAAAAAACAAGACAAATATGAGGGGCACACTGAAACCATTCATTTTTCTCGTGCTTCTTTTATACATATACAAGACATTTACAAAGCAGAACCAGAACCGGAAATCAGTAGCTGAAATGGCCTGTTCATGCCTGAAAGGACAAAAACAGCCTGGTAAGAATGCACCTGCAAATCTTGTTGGGAAGCCTCGTATGCAGGTGGATCCCGAGCAAGCTAAGCTCATCCCCAACACACACAACACACCCTCATTATGATTGTATCAAACCAGAAAGATGGCTTGTATACATTCATGATCAGGGAGCGTTATGTTCAGGGGGTAGTTTTGGCATTCACAAAGTTCTTTGGGCAAATCTATAAAAACTGCCAGCTTCGGCTGGCCATCCATGATACCTTTCTCGGCCTTTTGGCTAAGATAAAGTGTAGTATCTGTTCTGACGAGTTTAATATCTGATCCGCGGTCCATCGGACCAATTGAAAAAAAAAAAAAAAGGTTGGCCATCCATGAGAACATAGCCCACTGGCTTGCATTGATGAGACAAAAATAACCCAGTTGCAATGCACCTGACCTCTGCAGTCAAGCAGGTGCATTGTCTGCACGCGACCTCATGCAGTGTCCACATACAGTATTGCCAGAAGTAGACCATCTAATTCATAATGCACCTCGCATTGGCAGTCTGCACCTGACATCATGCAGTGCCCTCTACAGTCTGACTTGTCCATTTTTGTATTTTGCAACCCTTTTTCCTCCCGTGTTATGAAGCAACCAAGGGGTATTTTTTTCATTTCAATCTTCCTGACCTTCCACCCACCCCACCCAGGGGGAAGAAACGAACACAACATCAGATCACCCACCCCATCGACTTTGACAGTTAGTCTGTCATCTTCGCTCAAACAAAACGCACACTGAGAGCGAATGCATAGAACAGTATTAGAACTCGATAGAAATGATATTTTCAGTCCGCTACAGTTCGCAGCCCTAAGACCGTTGTATAGGGGGTTGCCATGTGTGTGCAAGGTGGCATGAATTTTCAGAGCGGGCAACAACTCCAAAATGGGGTATAACAGGGGGAGGAGTTGTGCGGTGACCGGCCTGTACCATTTTTTCGGACTGACAGCTACTGCCGCCAGAACCAGTACCTTCCAAAAGTGTAGGCCCCGTGCTACCTTCTGACTGGAAGCCCAAAAAGAGGCACAAAGTATTGCAAAGGCTAAATCTTTAAGAGTAGCTGATCTTGAAGATCTGACAGTGGCTAGTACGCTTGGTCGTAGGTGATCGATGACTTGTTGCGAAACGTTGATTGCGCCGACTTTGGCCATTTTTCATGATCAGAATAATTTGACAAAAGGATCTGAAAATTAGGAACATAGATTGATAATGATCTTTCCCAAAAAATACAAAAGGAGTCGTCCAAAACTTCTTAATGGCCAGATGGGGGGGGCGGGGGAGGTGGGGGACTTTTTAATGGCAGAAAAACTGACGACAGTGAAAGAATGCATATTTTTCTCCCCACTGCCAGTGGTAGGCCCCCATTGTTTTGGTGCAGTGTGCCAGGCTCGGAACACAAGTACCGCATCAATAAAATAATTTTAGGGACAATGGTGGTCAGACTCCAGAGCTTTCCCAGCTAAGCCCAAACAACACAACCGTTAATGTGCCATGTCTTTTGGGGCTCGGCCCACTGAAACAAAAGGTTGGTGGCACCAGCTAAAATAGGTTCAATTTCTCACCTTCACCAGTTCAGCAAAAATCAGCATACAGCAGCAAGTGGCGTTCGAAACCAGAGGCTTGAAGATACTGACGTAAGGATCCAGTTTTAGGGCTCAGGAGAAGTGTTGTGCAGCGTCTGTCATCAAGGTTGGCCTTTGTGGGTGGAGGTTGTCATGGGACCGGTTGCTGGTTTTTGAAACATAAGAGCAGAAAAATTGTACGACAGGTCTTTTTAAAAAAAAGGAAGCGGCGAGCTGGGGCTGAGGCTGTTTTTGAAACCTAAGAGCAGAAAAATTGTACGACAGGTCTTTTAAAAAAAAAGGAAGCGGTGAGCTGGGGCTGGGGCTGAGGCTTAGGCCCACAAACTCCATTTCATTGAATCACTTGTCTGGCAGGCCTCCCAGAATTGGTGCCTCAAAGAGGATTTGTCACCCGCTCGATTTTCGAGATCGGGCAGCTTAGATCTCCCCTGCCCTTTCAAAACTTAGGCTGGGTGGACCTCCCTTTTTGAGATGGTCCAATGTTTTGAATGTAGCGGTGTTTCAGCGCTAGTTTCAGAAACCTATAGGCTGCACTTCACAAACGGGCACTGAAACACGCGGCAGAACCAAGGTGCCTCGTGTTCAGCAACAAACACTGGGCATTCTCTCTCTCTCTCTCTCTCTCTCTCTCTCTCTCTCTCTCTCTCTCTCTCTCTCTCTCTCTCTCTCTCTCTCTCCCCATTGTGTATGGACAGTTGATTGTGTGCAGGGACATCAAGCCCAGTTGCACGTTGAAATCTTTTCAGCGCTGTTGCATGTTGAAAATCTCTCTCTCTCTCTCTCTCTCTCTCTCTCTCTCTCTCTCTCTCTCTCTCTCTCTCTCTCTCTCTCTC